AATGTGAATGAAGCCAATTATACATATCCTCAAGATCGAATGATGACGGAAGGAGGAAAACAAATTGAGCGCTATTAATATCTTTTAGCCTAGAATATAAAATAAAATGTAAGTAGGTTTATGTATGGAGGGGACTGAATCAGCAGTATGACGTTAAACACCTTGGATCTGCCCTTCATCATTTAACATACGGTACGCTGAACATTACGTGACACCAAAGAGAGACAATTGTTGCTAAGTAAAAAAAATGATGTGTTTAAATGCTATGTTGAGTCTTGTTGGTTAAAGATTGGGCTGGAGACTTCTTGTTATCATTGCGGAATCCTGTTTATGCATCAGGCTTGACTCCAGATGACAAACGTACAAAAATTACATTGTTTCCGAAACTGGAGATCTTCGCAACACAAAGAACTGTAAATGGTGGCCAAGCATGGGAAAGCTCAACCATCAGTGCACTCCTACACGGATCTGGGCTTTATGGCAGCGTGGCTAGATGGAAGCTGCTCCTCAGTGCAAAACACATGAAAACCTGCTTGGCGTTTGCAAAAGCTTTCTTGCAAACTCCAAGCGGGCTTTAACCTCCCTAGCGGTCCATATTTCTGTGCTCAAAGCGGTACATTTCTTTGCATGGAAATATGTATTTTTTTTATTGTAGGCTATAATTTTTAGGAATAACTCACTGAAATCTGTCCGAACAAGAGTCTAGTAAACATCCCGGGTAGGATAAAACTTGAAACACGAAATCATAAATTATAATTTAATAAATAATCATAAAAAATTATAATATAATAATAATAAATTTAATTCAATAATATAATCAAACCAAAAACACTGGAAATTTAAATATAGCGCCAAGTTCACACATCACTGAGCAAAGTCGCAAAATCGTTTTCAGTGTCTGAGGAGGAATTTCCCCCACGAATCATTATCTCTCAATTCTGCAAGTGGTTCTGATTTACTATCGCTGTTCTCTAGCCGGTCTAAAACCGCTTTTGACCTAAAGGGACACTTTTTGGACGCCATGGACGTTTCTCAGTTTCCAGGCAGAAGGAACAGTAAAAATGCAGGCAGGGCGCAGGACAAAGCACTCGAGACAAAATGTATGTGAAATGGTTTGATACAGGAATGTTATACTATGTGATTTTAGTGTATTTAGTGAATATCACTTTTTGTCATTTTCAAATTTCCCGCCGGTTCCGCCCCCTGTATGTCCCGACGCTCGCAGGGGACGGAACCCAGATGACAGATGCCGGCATCTGCCGGAGGACATTACAGGGGACACTGCAGGAGGGTCATTGCGGGAGCGCAGGACAAGGTAAGAGATTGAGGGACAGCGGAGCAACGCCGCATGGTAAGCCCGAGTGTAGCTCGGGGTTACCGCTTGTGGTACTGAAACTTTACCCCGAGCTACACTCGGGAATACCGCCAGGGAGGTTAATGTGTTTTGCACTAAGGAGAGGCGTCCATCTAGCCACGCTGACATAAAGCCCAGATTGGTGGAGGGTTGCAGTGATGGTTGTCCTTCTGGAACTTTGTCCTATCTCCAGACAGGATCTCTGGAGCTCAGTCAAAGTGACCATCAGGTTCTTGGTCACCTCTTAGTCACCACTAAGACCCTTCTTCCCTGATTACTCAGTCTGGTCAGGTGACCATCAGGTTCTTGCTCACCTGTTGTTCACCACTATGGCCCTTCTCCCCCAATTACTCAGTCTGGCCAGGTGACCATAAGGTTCTTGGTCACCTCTTGGTCACCACTAAGGCCCTTCTCCCCTGATTACTCAGTCTGGCCGGGCAACCAGCTCTTGGAAGAGTCCTGGTTGAGCCAAACTTGTTCCATTTGAGAACTATGGAGGCAACTGTGCTCTTAGGCACCTTCAGTGCAGCAGAATTTTTTTGTGTAGCCTTTCCCAGATCTGTGTCTTGCAATAATCTTGTCTCTGAGCTCTGCAGGCAGTTCCTTTTGACCTTATGGCTTTTGCTCTGATACAGTATGCATTGTCAGCTTTGAGGCCTTTAGAAGAAGGTGTGTTCCTTTCCAAATCATGTCCACAGGTGAACTCCAATCAAGGTGTAGAAACATCTCAACAATGATCAAGAAAAATGGGAGGCACCTGAGCTAAATTTAAAGTGTTGTTGCAAAGAGTCTAAATACTTTGTTCAATATGATATTTCATTATTTTTTTTTTTTAATAAATTCGGACATTTCTATAATTCTGATTTCACTTTGTCATTATGGAATACTGAGTGTAGATTACGGAGAAAAAAAATAATCGAAACAACTGTAGTATCAGGCTGCAACTTAACAACATTGAAAAAAGTGAAGAGCGGCTGAATACGTTGTGAATGTGCTCTCTCTACCTTTCTCTTCCCTCTCTCTTTCCTCCCTCTCTCCCTCTTCCCTATCTCTCTCTCTTTCCTCTCTTCTCTCTCTCTCCCCTCTCTCTCCCCTCTCTCTCCTCTCCTCTCCCCTCTCTCTCACTCTCTCTCTCTCCCTTCTCCCCCTCTCTCTCTTCCCTCTACCCCCCCTCTCTTCTCTCTCTCTCCCCTCTCTCTCTCCTCCTCCCCCCCCCCTCTCTCTCCATCTCTTCTCTCTCCCCCCTCTCACTCCTCTCTCTCTATTCTCTCTCCCCTCTCTCTTCTCTCCCCCTTCTCTCTCTCTCTTCCATCTCTCTCTTCTCTCCCCCCTTTCTCTCTCTCTCTATTTATATATACAGTTGTGTTCAAAATAATAGCAGTGTGTTGAAAAAAGTGAATAAAGCACAAAATCCTTCTAATAGCTTTTATTTCCATCCACACAAATGCATTGGGAACACGACACATTCTATTCCAAATCAAAACATGAAGAAAAATAGATCAAATTTGTGTTGTTCCTCTAAAAAAATTGAAAAGTGAATATTAGACGGTTCAAAAAAATCGCAGTGTTTGTATTCTTCTTTACAAACTCCAACATTCACTATATAAACTGAAAAATGTTTGAAGATTTTGCTTCCCTTTGAATGACTTAATGAATATTTGGTTGTAGTCGCACTGTTTCTGAGAACTGCTGTACATCTGTGTTGCATGGAGTCACCCAACTTCTGGCCCCTGTGATCAGGTATTCCAGCCCAGGATGATTGGACGACATTCCACAGTTCTTCTCTATTTCTTGGTTTTGCCTCAGAAACGGCATTTTTGATGTCACCCCACAAGTTTTCTATTGGATTAAGATCCGGGGATTGGGCTGGCCGCTCTATAACGTCAATCTTGTTGGTCTGGAACCAAGATGTTGTACGTTTACTGGTGTGTTTGGGGTCGTTGTCTTGTTGGAACACCCATTTCAAGGGCATTTCCTCTTCATCATAAGGCAGCATGACCTCTTCAAGTATTCTGATGTATTCCAACTGATCCATGATCCCTGGTATGCGATAAATAGGCCCAACACCGTAGTATGAGAAACATCCCCATATCATGATGCTTGCACCACCATGCTTCACTGTCTTCACAGTGTACTGTGGCTTGAATTCAGTGTTTGGGGGTCGTCTGACAAACTGTCTCCGGCCACTAGACCCAAAAAGAACAATCTTACTTTCATCAGTCCACAAAATGTTGCGTCATTTCTCTTTAGGCCAGTCAATGTGCTCTTTGGCAGATTGTAACCTCTTCAGCACGTCTTTTTCCAACAGTGGGACTTTGCGGGGGCTTCTTGCAGATAGCTTGGCTTCACATAGGCGTCTTCTAATTGTAACAGTCCTCACAGGGAACTTTACACCTTCTTTCATCTTCCTGGAGCTGATTGTTGGCTGAGTCCTTGCCATTTTGGCTATTCTTCTATCCATTCCAATGGTAGTTTTTTGCTTTCTTCCACGTCTTTCAGGTTTTGGTTGCCATTTTAAAGCATTTGCGATCATTTTAGCTGAGCAGCCTATCATTTTCTGCACTTCTTTATATGTTTTCCCCTCTCTAATCAACTTTTTAATCAAGGTACGCTGTTCTTCTGAACAATGTCTGGAACGACCCATTTTCCTCAGAATTTCAGAGAGAAATGCACTGTAACCGGCATGTACAACATTTGCTGCATTCCTTCCTTAAATAAGGGCAATAATTGCCACCTGTTTTTCAAAGAATGAATGACCTCACTAATAGAACCCCACACTGCTATTATTTTGAACATGCCCCTTTCAATGAGTGATTCAATGACACAGAATCAGCAGCATGCATGTCATGACTGTTGGGTCTGTTGGATTTCTATTACTCTACTACACCTGCTAGGAAATTATTTGCCATGTAGAAATATCATTTCTACCAAAAACAGTGATTGATCCGGTTAGTGATGTCTGACTGCTATTATTTTGAACATAACTGTATATATGTGTGTGTGTGTGTTTTTCTTCATAACAATTTTTATTAAGTGTTTTCCAGAAAAATACATCCACACCGGAGGGTCCAGGATATGACATTTTCATCAGAAGAGATAGCCTAGCTCTTACACAATACCATATACAGGAAACATATCACAAGAGCCTTAGGTGATTTAATGCAAACACACAGCTATCTGAGGAGATTGAAGGGGGCGATTACAAGACAAGGGAAGGGAGAAAAAAAACAGAAAGGAGGGAGGATGGGGGGGGGGGGGGGTGTTGGGGTGAGACAGCGATGGAGGGGTCAGGAGAGAAGATAGGGCAGTTGCCCGCAGATGACTGCCCCTTATTACAAGACGCAAGGTTACCACCATCCCGCCAAATGCATACTGATATATATTTTTAATGGTCCTGTTAAACAAAAAGAAGATGAAAAAAAAACACCTCATTCCTTATTATTGCAAAGAATGTGATGATTATTTGTTCCTCAAATCAAACCCATTTATTTTTGTACCAAACAGAAATATTACCACAAAAATAAAAAGCGCAAATGAGCCAGTTAAACTTAAAGTGTTACTAAACCCACAACAGTAAAAGCAAAGCATGCTTGTTATACTCACTGTGGAACCTAAGAGGTTAATCCTCTGCATTGTGTAAAAAGGTTGTTTGATCCTCTCTTCTCTGATCCTCCCCTTCTTCCAGTGTCTCCCAAATATATCCTGATAGAACAGAGCCTTGGGGTCAACCTGCACATGCTCAGTTTGGTGTATATTGCTAGAGAGTTTTTTTTTTCTTGGCAGGGTGCATGTGATCAGCACTGTCCAGAGAGAGGTCAGGGGTTCTGCTTCCTCCTACAGCCTAAGGGGTTAACCCTCTGCATTGCATAAAAACACTATTTGATCCTGTCTTCTTTGATCTTCCCCTTCTTCTAGTGTCCCCCTCTCTTATCTCCTGATAAGACATATCATGCAGAGTCACTCTGCACATGCTCAGTTTGGTGTGTATTAATAGAGAAGTTTTTTTTTTTTCTTGGGAGAGTGCATGTGATCAGCACAGAGCCAATCAGCACTGTCCAGACAGAGGTCAGGGGTCCTGCATCCTTCTAGAGCAAAGTGAAATCTCCTCCTACAAGCTTTAACCAGTGCTCTGCTGGATACTGATAGAAGTCACAAGACTGCTCTAACTGCTGATGAGAAACAATATTTAGCAGTTTATGTTTACACTAAAATAACTGCATTTCCATTTTGTGTGTACTGTGGGAGACCGGATATAGTGAATGCAGGGTCCGGGGAGACCAGATATAGTGAATGCAGGGTCCGGGGGGGAGCAGATATAGTGAATGCAAGGTCCGGGGAGACCAGATATAGTGAATGCAGGGTCCTGGGAGACCAGATATAGTGAATGCAGGGTCCGGGGGAGACCAGATATAGTGAATGCAGGGTCCGGGGAGAGCAGATATAGTGAATGAAGGGTCCGGGGAGACCAGATATAGTGAATGCAAGGTCCGGGGAGATCAGATATAGTGAATGCAGGGTCCAGGGAGAGCAGATATAGTGAATGCAGGGTCCGGGGAGACCAGATATAGTGAATGCAGGGTCCGGGGAGAGCAGATATAGTGAATGCAAGGTCCGGGGAGACCAGATATAGTGAATGCAGGGTCCAGGGAGAACAGATATAGTGAATGCAAGGTCTGGGGAGAGCAGATATAGTGAATGCAGGATCCTGGGAGACAGATATAGTGAATGCAGGGTCCGGGGAGAGCGGATATAGTGAATGCAGGATCCTGGGAGACCAGATATAGTGAATGCAGGGTCCGGGGAGAGCGGATATAGTGAATGCAAGGTCTGGGGAGAGCAGATATAGTGAATGCAGGATCCTGGGGAGACCAGATATAGTGAATGCAGGGTCCGGGGAGAGCGGATATAGTGAATGCGGGGTCCGGGGAGACCAGATACAGTGAATGCAGGGTCCGGGGAGACCAGATATAGTGAATGCAGGGTCCTGGGTTTAGTAACACGTTAAACTTAAAACTATCAGGGCACTTCTAGAAAAAACTCTAAGCAAAGCAATTGATCTTACAATAAACCCAGAAACAGTAAAAATCAATCTCATGGCTGAACAAGATAAATTGCATGAAGTAGGCAAAGCACCCATTACGCCCAAACACATACAAAACAAGACATGTTCAAGAACACATATCAGATGTGTAGGACCACACACACACACGGCAAACCTGTCCTGATAAAGATCAAATATATCACAAATGCAAAAAGAAATCACTATGCCAGCCCTCCCCTTCTTACCTTGGATGAACCCTTGAAATATTTTTCAGATCTATGGGAACACTTGATAAAAAATAGGTATGCCCAGAGTCTGCGATCACATTAGTGATCACAATTGTAGAACGCTTTAAATGTACAAATAAATAGCCATACTTAGCATATTTGACACAAAAAAAACAATGTGAACAAGTTTCACAAGAAAAGGCGGTTGCATAAAGGACAATGCGATACTCAACTTGAGTATCACATTGTCCTTTATGTAACTGCTTTTTCTTGTGAATCTCTTGTTCACATTGGTTTTTTTGTAGGCTTTTTTGGTTATTGGGCAATACTTTATACTTCTAGCGATACCTATTATCTTTAATGCCTCCATTTTCTATGGTTATTAAAGTTAGCATATTTGACACCCTGTAAGGATACTTTTTACACCCTCCTGCTCCATACAACAAGGGTTGTAACCCAGAGACTTGCCTTTTTCCATACCCAGAGACTTGCCTTTTTCATACCCAAAGACTTTCCTTTTTCCATACCCAGAGACTTGCCTTTTTCATACCCAGAGACTTTCCTTTTTCATACCCAGAGACTTGCCTTTTCCATACCCAGAGACTTGCCTTTTCCATACCCAGAGACTTGCCTTTTTCATGGTACAGAGATATCAGTTAACAAATGTAAAGAATGAAGTATTATTTGAATGCAGCAAAGAGTTCGATACCCAAGTTTTGGAGGAGATGTGAGGCGCCGAAGGTAGAGGATTGGGTCGACCGAGTGGATCAAATATGTAAGATGGAAAAACTTTGTCATGTATGAAGATAGGATGGAGAGATATTATGTGAGATGGAATAGATTTTGAAGAATTTAAAAAGATTAAAAATCAAAATTAAATGTGGAATGTAAGGGGCATAATGTAAAATGTAGAACAATACCTATCTCTTTATTCTAGAGGAGGTGGGGTCACAGGAAGATAAGGAAAATGCAGAGTGGAATGGGTGGGGGTGAGTGGGGTGAGGGGGGGGGCGGATAAGAGGAAGGGGGGGGGGGGAGTTTCGGGGGGGGGGGGGGGGGGTAGGAAATATAAGTTGCTGAAAATTTATAAATATTTAAATAATAAAAAAAAACAAGGAAAAAAATTAATATTAATGATCAAATAAATAAAATTGTAGTGTTTCCTAACATTAGACATCAACGTAGACGTTCCCTCTTGCATTGGTGGCCAGTGTAGGTGAGAGCCTAATTTACCATTGCTCACGGCTCAAGGAACTCCTAGCAAACTCAGGAGGAGTTTTTTTTATTGAACCCAGGTTGGGAAAAAATTGCCTTTTGCCATCATGTGTTGTAAATGCAATCAAATGAGATCAGTCTGGTCAAATTTTATAAATAGTTACATATAGTTACATAGTTAGTCTGGCTGAAAAAAGACAAAAGTCCATCCAGTTCAACCATTAAAAAAAAAAAAAAAGTTATAATTCTACACCCACAGTTGATCCAGAGGAAGGCATAAAAACCCAGCAAAGCATGATCCAATTTTTGCTCCTGCAGGGGAAAAAATTCCTTCCTGATCTCCCGAGAGGCAATCGGATATTCCCTGGATCAACTTTACCTATAAATGTTATATCCAGTTATATTCTATGTATCTAAGAAACAATCCAGGACTTTTTTAAAGCAATCCACTGTGCTGGCCAGAACCAACTCTTGAGGGAGTCTATTCCACATTTCCACAGCTCTCACTGTGAAGAAACCTTTTAGAAAAACCTTTAAAGAAAAATGCACAGAAAATCAATTCGGACTGGACTCAGGTGTGCAGGTAAATGTGATATCTGCACATTAGTTACTTACACAGGAAATATACGAAAGATGACATTTTAAACGCCATGTGCCAGGACTCAAAACTGGTCTCAACTTAAAGTGAAACTTAACTAAAAAATGATATGCTTTACATCTGCATTTTAGTTCAGCACCTTAAAAATCAAGCCTATTGCAAAAAAAAAGATGTACTGTATACGATGCAATCACAAGACTAACTCAGCAGCGTTGGTTTTAATGAGCCATCGTGTAACGCTGTTTTTTTAGTTTCTGATTATAACAGTAGATCTGATATCATTCTATTCTGCTTCTTTATCTTTTTGTTCAGCAGTAAATCACTGTCACCCTATAGACCATGGGTGTCAAACTGGCAGCCCTCCAGCTGTTGCCAAGCTAGATGTCCCACGAGGCATTGCAAGATTGACAGTTACAAGCATGACTCCCAAAGGCAGAGGCATGATGGGACTTGTAGTTTCGCAACAGCTGGAGGGCCGCCAGTTTGACACCCCTGCTATAGACAGGCATAGATGGCCATATAGTTTTAAATTGACTTCAAAGCATATTTTCACTTCTGCAGTCAAATTTGTTGTGTGTTCCCATTCACATGGCATCCCTAAACATTTTGTTAAAATATTTCTCATCATTTAGATGTTTCTCAGGAGAAGGTATCATGGCTGACTGCAAGGATTAGTAAATGATGTTAAAGTGAGTCTGTCCCAGGTCTGTCCTTATTTAGGCTAGGTTCACACCTATGTAGGTTGCGTTTGAGGCATTTCTGCATTGCGTTTTGCATTTTTGATGCATTTTTTGTCCCTGAATTTTTTTGCCACAAAAATCACTGGGTGAAAACGTGGAGATGTGTGAACGTGTCCCTGACCCATACAAAAATCATGTTGGAATGGACTGTACACTAAGTGCTGCAGAAAACACTTAGGTGTGAACCAAGGGTAACATACAATGCAAGAAACCCAGGCTCTGCACCTTTAACCCATTGTTAGGAAAGACAGTGTTCAAATCTAGGTACAGAAAAAAATTAAAAATAAATAAAATATATATTTATATATATAAATAAAAATATATATAATAATAAAAAAAAAAATAATATATATAAAATACATATATATATATATATATATATACATATATATACATACATATATATATATATAATAATATCACACACCATATACGGATCATTAGGACTAATAGGATGTCATGTCCCAAGTGTTGTGTATTGTGTTATTGGCAGGATCACCAGGTGAAATCAGTGTAAAAAAAGTCTGCAAAAGATCATAATTTTTAAAATGTTTATTTGGTTATTTATGTTTATATTATTTTTTTTGTTCATTGTGCGTTATTATGGTCACTAATCATGCTTAATTTGATAGCAAAAATTATTTTACTTTTTTCTGACCTTCAGAACGGATTAATTGGTTTTCAGTGCATTCCTATGGAAACCGCGTTTCGGTTTACAAATTTTTAAAAATACGTAAAGTCCCGCAGAACGCATTAAATTCGTAAACCAAGGTACGCATGTGAGGTTGCCCACATTTTGCCATCAGAAAGCCTAAAACCAGAATCAAATAAATTTGGAGGAATACCACATACAAGACCTCAATCTGTTGGAATAACTACCTACCTATATTATGGTATCAGAATTTATAAAAAAAAACAAAAAAACAACAAAATAGCAAAGAGAGAAAATATTTTTTTAAAAATGATGTTTGTTCCCCTGATGCTCTCTGACAAGTTATTCCACCTCTTCATCCCTTTCTCTGGAGTTTTTTTCCCATCACTGACAAAAACATTCTGTCCTAATATTGTGACAGCTTAATTATGGAGTCAGGCTATAGATAAATGAAGGGAATGACTAGAACACCCTTCCTGCAATGGTTGCGTGGTGTGTTGATTTTCTCCTGCCATCATTTCTCACTGAGCTAAGCACATGCCCTGACAATAGGTGCCGTTTTCTTGCTTTGTTGGTGATTTTCCAGCTGTCAGACAGCAAACAGCCGCAAGGCACGGCCTATCGCACTCACACTGCATGTGATGGTACAACGATCAGACAATCAGAAGACTCTTTCATGGTCATATTTTTGTATTTTTAAAGTTTAAATCCTAAATCCAGCCCAAAGTTTTTTTGGATAGAGTACAGACCAGGGGCGGACTGACCATTTGGAAACTCGGGCACTGCCCGAGGGCCTGGGGTCAGTAGGGGGCCCCATGAGATGCCCCTGGTACCTTTTTTCATAGGTCTTTTTTGGCGTGGGCAAGGACACAGGGGCCCCATGATCCCCTATTGCCCCTGGGGGCCCCATGAGTTGTCAGTCCGCCCCTGGTAGAGACCCAAGTTGATTTTTGTTTGGTTGCTATCCAGGGCTTTGTTAGAAGGATTTCCCCCCACTTCCTGTCCTGCTGACAACATTTTAGCAGATAGGAAGTGAGGGAAACTCTCCAACAGCAACACATAGAAAAATAAAAACAGTTTCCCTTAGTAGAGTAGGAAAAGGATGGAACTCCTATCAGATCAGAGCTCCAAAGAGCAGTAGAAACCTGACAGGGGTTTTAATACTTCACTACACTCACTAGACTTTTTATATTTTTTGCTTGACATACACTTTAGCCCGGGTTCACACTGATGCGGTGTGGAAATCGTGTTTTCAGTGCAAATATCGCACCACATCGTACCCCGTTCATGCGAACCGATGCGGGTGTGTATGTTAAGTTAACAACCCCCCAAAAGTGGTCCCACAAAACGTGGTGCGATGTGAAGAATCGGATCGAATAGGTGTGAATACCCATGCGATCCGATTTTAGTGCAGACCAAAAAAAGGGTCCTGCACGTTTTTGGTGCGGTGCAATTAGAGCCATACAAAATGTATAGCTCCGAGCGCACTGCACACAAATCATATGTGATTTGCACAGTAATGTGGTGCGTTCCTGTGTAAATCACATGCGATATACCGGACCGTATATATGTGAGCCCAGGCTGATTGTTACTAAACCCACAACAGTAAAATCATTCTATATATGCAGTACAGCATGCTTGTTATACTCACTGTGGAACCTAAGGGGTTAATCCTCTGCATTGTGTAGAAAGGATGTTTGATCCTGTCTTCTCTAATCCTCCCCTTCTTCCAGTGTCTCCCAAATATCTCCTGATAGAACAGAGGCTAGGGGCATGCTTCACATGCTAGAGAGGTATTTTGTTTTCTTGGGAGAGTGTAAAAAGGCTGTTTGATCCTGACTTTTCTGATCCTCCCCTTCTTCCAGTGTCCCCCTCTTATCTCCTGATAAGACATCATGTGGAGTCACTTTGCACATGACCAGTTTAGTGTGTATTGCTAGAGAGGTGTTTTTTTCTCTTGGGAGAGTGCATGTGATCAGTACAGGGCCAATCAGTACTTTCCAGAGAGAGGTCAGGGGTTCTGCATCCTCATAGAGCAGAATGAAAATTCCTCCTACAAGCTTTAACCAGTGCTCTGCTGGGCACTGATAGAAGTCACAAGACTGCTCTAATTGCTGATGAGAAAAGGTATTTAGCAGTTTATAGTAATTAAAAATAATTGCATTTCCATGTTGTGTGTACTGTGAGAGACCAGATATAGTGAATGCAGGGTCCGGGGAGACTGGATATAGTGAATGCAGGGTCCGGGAGACCGGATATAGTGAATGCAGGGTCCGGGGAGACCGGATATAGTGAATGCAGGGTCCGGGGGAGACCAGATATAGTGAATGCAGGGTCCGGGGAGAGCGGAGACCGGATATAGTGAATGCAGGGTCCTGGGAGACCAGATATAGTGAATGCAGGGTCCGAATGCAGGGTCCGGGGGGGCCAAATATAGTGAATGCAGGGTCCGGGGAGACAAGATATAGTGAATGCAGGGTCTGGGGAGAACAGTTATAGTGAATGCAGGGTCCGGGAGACCAGATATAGTGAATGCAGGGTCTGGGGAGAACAGATATAGTGAATGCAGGGTCTGGGGAGAACAGATAATAGTGAATGCAGGGTCCGGGGAGAACAGATATAGTGAATGCAGGGTCCGGGGAGACCGGATATAGTGAATGCAGGGTCCGGGGAGACCGGATATAGTGAATGCAGGGTCTGGGGTTTAATAACACTTTAAGGCAAAAGTATTTAAAGCTTGCCTTTAGTTCTACTTTAAGCCAAACAATTATTTTTGCAGAGAATTTCCTCCACCCTACGCCTTGCATAATCCATTACTTCCAGCAGCAGAAATCTTTTTTTTCCCCAAAATTTTCATTTTTTTAAATTATATAATTAAAAAAAAACATTTGTGATAAAATACCACCAAAAGAAAGTTCTATTTGTGTGAAAAAATATTATATATATTTCATTTTCATAGAGTTGTATGATGGAGCAATTGCCTGTTAAAGCAGCACAGTGCTGAATAGCAAAAAAAATGGTCTGACCATGAAAGGAGTAAAACTTTCTGGAGATCAAGTGGTTGACACAGTAGAGAAAAAAAATGGGGCAAAAAAACCCAAATATTTTTTAAACTACTAATAGTTATAAAACTTTTTTCTTTTTACTAGAAAGCTTCAAATAAGAACAAAAAAACACAAGAGAAAGGACACATACAGTATTAATGGCTGTGTGTTGAGTTATTTTGAGGGGACAGCAGATTTACATTGTTATACAAGCTGTACACTGACTACTTTACATTGTAGCAAAGTGTCATTTCATCAGTGTTGTCACATGAAAAGTTATAATAAAATATTTACAAAAATGTGAGAGGTGTGCTCACTTCTGGGAGATACTATAGTTATTTTTACTTTTTTGGTTATATTTTTATTTTTGAAAACACAGCCTGTATGACTAGTGACCATGATCATGCATGATGAGCAAAAAAACCCCACAACTCTAATAAACCAAATAAAAGTTTAAAAAAAAATGAAAAAAACCCCCAATGTTTTGCTTATTTTAGTGGAATTGTTATTTGAGTTTTTTTCACAATAGAAAAAAGGCACAATAGCGATCTTAAAATTTTGAAAAATAGGTTACTGTACAAGTTAGCTGTATCCTGGTCACAATCAGGATATGGGCAGCACAGTGGCTAAATGGTTAGCACTTCTGCCTGGCAGTACTCAGGTTGTTGGTTTGAATCCCAACCACAGCACCACCTGCCTAGAGTTTGCATGTTCTCCCTGTGCCTGTGTGGGTTTCCTCCCACACTCTCCAGAGACATGCTGGTAGGTTAATTGGATCTTGTCTAAATTGGCCCTTGTCTGTGTATGTATGAATGTAAGTTAGAGATCTTAGATTGTACGCCCCTTGAGGGTTAGGGACTGATGTGAATGTACAATATATATGTAAAGTGCTGTGTAAATTGATGGCGCTATATAAGTACCTGAAATAAATAAATAAAATAAAAAAATTGAATGAATTCAGATGGTATGCTCCCTCTTGCTAGTAGATACTTGACCATTCACATCACTAATGACCAGCATTGGATTCTATAAAGGCTGAATGTGTGCATACATTAGATGTGCTTTTGTGTAAGAGTGATAGATAATGATGACAGCTATGCCGGCAGCACCCAGTTCTGGCACCAAGGCTTCTGCTTTGATCCAAAATACACATTTTTAAGAAGAACCAGAGCCAATAACAAATTCTTCCATTCTATGACAACATTAATGTAAATCAAAACACAGAGGAATAAATCAAGTGTGAATGAAGTAAAATTCAACATATACTAAAGATAGAATAATGATGACAAGAGAAAAACAAATTGAGAGAGCTGACTAAATCTGCATTACTGTATAAAAAGATTGTGACACCCTGCGCACCAACATATTGCACACTGAACATCACGTGACACCAACACAAGGTCATTTAGGACAATTTCTTGGATAAAACATTAGTTCAGCATGCATCCTCCAATCTCATTTGCATAATTACTATTATGCAGCCCAACTGGCCCAAATGCCCAAGGTCACACACGAGACACCCGTTTGTATGGTCCTTGAGTCCACAGAATGCGACCCTGTTGAGTTAACAGCCATTTTGATAGAGATTTTTCTGACTAACCCTGTCAATAAACTCACAATACAAGCCTGGGATGCAGTTAATTATCTAGCAAAACAACCAATCCCTCTCCAGACCCCTTATGGCCCATCTCTCACAATCCCCAATTTCTCCCAGGACCTCATACCCCTTTGGCCTTCAATGACTGGATCTCCAGGGATCTTGTCCAAGTCCTGATTACCAAAGACATATTGTCAATATTAATAACTAATAATCAAAAAATTGTTATTATCCTTCATTATTGTGGAAACAGGCAACCTCAGTTCTTTTCAAGAGAGTGTGGCATTTATTGGATCCCAGCAACAGATGACAAGTCCAACAAAGTACATACAAAAAAGTATAATAAAATAAGAAGCTTTATTAGTCCGCTTTAGAACACTAGGTTATTCATTTTAACTTGGCAAGCATATAGACACTCCACCCATCCAGCACATATGTCCAATTTATATACTGTATGCACCTATATGCCTCTTATGTACAGTGCCTTGAAAAAAAGTATTCATATACTCCTTGAAATTTTCCACATTTTGTCATGTTACAATCATAAACGTAAATGTATTTTATTGGGATTTTATGTGATAGACCAACACAAAGTGGCACATAATTGTGAAGTGTAAGGGGAAAATGGTAAATGGTTTTCAAAATTTTTTACAAATAAATATCTCAAAAGTGTGGCATACATTTGTATTCAGCCTCCTGTACGCTGATACCCCTAACTAAAATCTAGTGGAACCAATTGCCTTCAGAAGTCACCTAATTAGTAAATAGAGACCACCTGTGTGTAATTTAACCCCAGCATAAATACAGCTGTTCTGTGAAGCCCTCAGAGGTTTGTTAGAGAACATTAGTGAACAAACAGCATCATGAAGGCCAAGAACCACACCAGAAAGGTCAGGGATAAAATTGTGGAGAAGTTTAAAGCAGGGTTTTGGATATTAAAAAATATCCCAAGCTTTGAACATCCCATGGAGCACTGTTCAATCCATCATCCGAAAATGCAAAGAGTATGGCACAACTGCAAACCTACCAAGACATGGCCGTCCACCTAAACTGACAGGCTGGGCAAGGAGAGCATTAATCAGAGAAGCAGCCAAGAGGCCCATGGTAACTCTGGAGGAGCTGCAGAGATCCACATCTCAGGTAGGAGAATCCGTCCACAGGACAACTATTGGAAATGCACTCCACAATCTGGCCTTTATGGGAGAGTGGCAAGAAGAAAGCCATTGTTGAAATAAAGCCATAAGAAATCCCATTTGCTGTTTACAAGAAGCAATGTGGGAGACACAGCAAATATGTGGAAGAAGGTGCTCTGGTCAGATAAGACCAAAATGTAACTTTTGGGCCTAAAAGCAAAATGCTATGTGTGGTGGAAAACTAACACTGCACATCACCCTGAACACACCATCCTCACCGTGAAACATGGTGGTGGCAGCATCATGTCGTGGGGTGATTTTCTTCAGCAAGTAACAGGGAAGTAGGTCAGACTTGATGGGAAGATGGATGGAGCCAAATACAGGGCAATCTTAGAAGAAAACCTGTTAGAGTCTGCAAAAGACTTGAGAGTGGGATGGAGGTTCACCTTCCAGCAGGACAACAACCCTAAACATCCAGCCAGAGCTACAATGGAATGGTTTACATCAAAGCATATTCATGTGTTAGAATGGCCCAGTCACAGTCCAGACCTATATCCAATGGAGAATCTGTGGCAAGACTTGAAAATTGCTGTTCAGACGCTCTCCATCCAATCTGACAGACCTTGAGCTATTTTGCAAAGAAGAATGGGCAAAAATGTCCCTCTCTAGATGTGCAAAGCTGCTAGAGACATCCCCAAAAAGACTTGTAGCTGAAATTGCAGTGAAAGGTGGTCCTACAAAGTTTTGACTCCGGGGGGCTGAGTACAAATGCACGCCACACTTTTCACAGATTTATTTGTAAAAACGTTTGAAAACCATTTATCATTTCCCTTCCACTTCACAATTATGTGCCACTTTGTGTTGGTCTATCACATAAAATGCCAATAAAATACATTTACATTTTTTGTTGTAACATGACAAAATGTGAAAACTTTCAAGGGGTATGAATACTTTTTCAAGGCACTGTATGTGCATGTATTCTTGTGCCCTCTCTCCTATGCCATTCCTTCCATCATCTTCTCATTCTTAGCAGCTAAATCTCCCCCCTTGATATACACGTTAATACCAGAGATTAACACTGGAGGGGTTTCTGATTGGGTGATATGATGATTGCTTTGATGTCACATGAATTAAAATAATCAAATCTGCAGATTCTCTATGGCAAAAAACTAAACACATTTAGTTTAGTCTTTTGAAGAAAATTCTCTGCAGCTGTTGCCATTGTGCATAGTCAGACAATGCTTTATGACCCTGAGACCAAACTTACCAGAGGCCCAATGGGTCAGGAAATATATAGACCTATATATAAAAACCTATTTAATTTATAATAAGATGTCTTTACACATCATCTACAGAAATACGTGCCATTATTTGCAGT